CTCCCTTCATTCTCTAAGGGTCCTGTCTGTCATGGTTATCTCTTCATCCACAAAGTTGGGTTCTAGTTACATAGTCGTAAAAAAAAGGAATAAAAGGTGAATTGCAAAAAAAAAAAACAAAAAACCACAATTCAGTGGAAGGAAGGACAGTCTTTTTAATAAGCTTCCGTTTATCAGAGGTATCATTAAGAAAGTGATAAGATGTAACTGCATACCCAGAATATATTGTTAAACATTTCTAAATCAGTAAGAGACCAACAACCTAGTAATATAAAAAAAGTAAATGACCTGAATAATCACTTCACTAAAGGAGATATCCAAATAAGCAACAAACATATGAAAAGATGCTCAACATCATTAGTCATCAGAGAAATGGAAATTAAAACTTAGTAACACACCACAATGACTAGAATGGATAAAATTAGACTGACTATCAGGTTCTCAGAAGGATGTAATATAACTGGAACTCTTACATAGCTGGTGGAAAACAGTTTAAATATTACTTTGGAAAACAGTTTAAATATTACTAAAGCTAAGTATAGTTCTGGCTCTACATCTAACAAAAATAAGACTTTAGGTCCTCCAAAAGACATACACAAGAATACTTACAGAAGAGGAAATCAAGATGGCAGCAGCAGAGGACACTTAGCTCACCTCCCCCCAGGAAGCATCTATTTTGGAGCAGGTCTCACTGAAAACAATCTGGAGACTGGCAGAAAGACTCTTACACAACTAAGGCTATAAAAAAGATTCATAGAGTTGGGAAGGAAGGGAAGAGAAACAATCAGTTCAGGACCTGTGCCCCTAGGAGGGGACACAGAAGAGGAGGGTCAAAGATCCTCCCTGGGGGTGGGGGGGGGAGCAGTTCCAACCCCTTATTGGGCAGCCTAGCCCTGGGATCTGACACCAGGAAGATAAGGCCTCTTGGCTGGTATGAAGACCAGTGGGACCTGCGGTGTGGGGAGCTGTGAGAAACTTGGACTCCGCTCTTGAAGTGCACACACATGTTTGCTTGCTCAGGGAACAGGCAGAGGAAGCAGACTGAGACTGCAGAAATTGGGCTGGTTCCTGCAACTGACCCAGCACGTGCCCCAGCCCACACAAAGCACCCGCTCCAGCCCCTCTTGCTCCACAGTGCAGCTCCCCACTAGGGCAAAGGCTGTTGCTACTGAGGAGCCTACGCAGTTCAGGGCATGGAGCTAGGTTGGACCTGACACTACACCTGAATGGTATGAGGGGGGCCCGCTACCAGTGCAGGGAGGGGCAGCAGATCAGGAGTGTCCTAGAACACTGACTTGTGTGCCAGGACAAGCACAGAGTGCACCCTGGCTCGCACTGGGCACACAAGCCAGTCCCTCTTGCTCCAACCACTGCTTCCTTCTGGGGAACGGAACCAGCTCTGACCCAACCCTCCAGGCTTCTGCTCCACTAACTTAAGACTTGACACCGGCCCTGGCCCTGGTAGGCGGTGTCGACCACTGAGCATAGGAGGAGCCCTGGCTGACACCTGCCTTCTAGCCCCTCCACCTCCAGCCCTAGCCCTCAGCAAGGTGTAGGTGCCAGACTACCCTGGGGGGAGATACTCCCACCAAAGCCACTGGGCACACACAGACCATATAGGGAACCACCCATGGACACCACTCCAAGACCAGGATAGGTAACTGTTTCCCCTAATTTCACAAAGACAGAGAAAGTTAAGAAAAATGAGAAGACAAAGGAATTTGTTTCAAACAAAAGAACAAGAAGAAAACCCTAACAAAATCAACTAATGAAACAGATATAATTTACTAAAGATTGTAAAGCATTAGTAGTAAGCATGATAACTGAACTAGTAAAAAGAATTTATGAACACAGTAAGAATTTTAACAAGGAACTAGAAAACAGAAAAAAAAACCTTGGAGGTGAAAAACAATTAGTGAAATGAAAAATACACTAGAAGGAATTGAGAGCAGAATAGGTGACATAGAAGGATGCAGAAGTGATCTGGAAGATAGAATAATGGAAATCTCCTGATCAGATTAGCAAAAAGAAAAACAAACGTAAAAAGGATAGTTTATAAAGGACCACTGGGACAACATCAAGCATACTAATGCTCTCATTATAGGGGTACCAGAAGAAGAAGAAAGAAAAAACAGGTAGAAAACATATTTGATGAAATTATGGCTCAAAACCCTGAACCTAAAGAATAGATATTCAGGTACAGGGAAGCACAGAGGGTCCCAAACAAGAAACCCAAAGAGATTTACACCAAGACATATCATAATTAAAATGGCAAACATTAAAGATAAAGAGAATTCTAAAGGCAGCAAGAGTCACGTATAAGAAACCCCAATAAGGCTATCAGCTGATTTGTCTGCAGAAATGTTTCAGGCCAGAAGGGAGTGGCATGAGATACTTAAAGTGTTAAAAGGGAAAACCTTCCAACATAGGATACTCCACCCAGCAAGATTATCATTCAGAATTGAAGAAGAGATAGATATAGAACTTCTCAGACAAGCAAAAACTAAAACAGTCATCAATACTAAACTGACCTTATAAGAAGTGTTAAAGGATCTTCCTTAAGTGAAAAAAAGTGGGAGGAAGGTACAACAAGAAATAAGAAACTATAGGATGGAGAAAATCCCACCAGAAAAGGCAAAAATATAGTAAAGGCTGTGGATCAAGCACTAAAATAAGCTATTGTGAAAGTTAAAAGACAGCATTTGTAAAATAAACTGTAACTACAATAAACAGTTAAGAGATAGACATGAAGATGTAAAATATGTTAAAAACCAAAACGTGGGGGAACGTAGATCTTCTAGAATGTGTCTGAATTTAAACGACTATAAGTTTAAAATAAATACAGTTCTAGGTCAACATATATGAACCACATGGTAACTACAAATCCAAAACCCACAATAGTTTGTTTTTCTAATAAAACTCCCAGCAAACAGAGGTCCAGGACTAGGTGGCTCACAGGGGAATTCTACCAAACACATAACAAACTACGAATGCCTACCCTTCTCAAACTATTTGAAAAAACTGAAGAGAATGGAACACTCCCAAATTCAGTCTACAAGGTGACAATTACCCTGATACCAAAACCAGACACAAGTACAGACCAATATCTGTGAGGAAAATAGATACAGAAATCCTCAATAAAACATTAGCAAACTGAATTCAACATTATATAAAAAGGATCATATGCCATGATCAAGTGGGTAGACTTGTTCAAGGGATGCAAGGATGGATCAATATCCGCAAATCAATGTGATACACCACATTAATGAAAGGAAGGATAAAAATCACATAATTATCTCAATAGACACAGAAAAAGCATTTGACCAAATTCAATATTCATTCACGATAAGAACTCTCATCACAGTGGGTATAGAGGGAGCATATCTCAACATAATAAAGGCCATTTATGACAAACCCTTAGCCAACATCATACTCAATGGTGAAAAGCTGAAAGCCTTCCTGTTATTTCCAGGAACAAGACAAAGATGCAGACTTTCGCCACTTCTATTTAAACATGGTATCAGAAGTCCTATCCACAGCAATCACAGACACAAAGAAAAAATAAAATCCAAATTGGAAGGGAAGAGGTATGTCTGTCATTATTTGCAGATAATGCTCCTGGGTATATATCCAGAGAAAACGAAAACACTAATTTTAAAGGATACATGCACCCCAGTGTTCACAGCAGCATTTACAATAGCCAAGACACAGAAGCAACATAGGTGCCCATTGACAGACAACTGGATAAAGAAAATTATATATACACACACACATATATATACACACACACAACAGAACAGTACTCAGTCATAAAATAAATAAATAAATTCTGTCATTTGCAGGAATGTGGATGGACCTAGAGGATATCATGCTTAGTGAAATAAGCCAGAAAGAGAAAGAAAAATACTGTGTATATGCAAAACAGAAACAGAGTCACAGATACAGAAAACAAACATGGTTACTGAAAGGGAGACTGAAGGGTGGAGGGACAAATTAGGTGTTTGGTTTAACAAATACAAACTACTATGTATAAAATAGATATGCAACAAGGATATATTGTACAGCACAGGGAATTATAGCCATTATCTTGTAATAACTTATAATGGAGTATAATCTGCAAAAATATTGAATCACTATGTTGTATACCTGAAACTAATGTAATATTGTAAATCAACTATACTTCAATTAAAAAATATAACACCATTTTTCAAATACCCCCAAATGCAAAACAAATATATTTTAAAACAAGTATGTTTCAAATATGTACCCCAGTACTTAATAACTTAATACTTAATAACCCCATTATTAAGTTTCAATAATAGAATGGACAGATAAATTCTGGGATAGTCACGATGGAACACTGCACAGCAATATAAAGCAATAAACAAACTACTAATGTATATGACATATATATCTCACAGACACAGTACTGATCCAAAGGCGGCAGACACTATACACACACACACACACACACACACACACACAGTATATATACACGTTTACATATTGTGTGTGTGTATACACATAGTGCACATATATACATAGTACCTACTGTATGACTACAGTTATCTGAAGTGAAAAACAGGCAAACTTGATCTATGATAATAGATGGGGGAGACGTTATTTACTGGGAGGAGGACACCAGGGAACCTTCTGGGGTGCTAAAAAAGTGTTCCATATGTTCACCTTGACAATGGCTATATGGGTGTATGCATATACAAAACTTTATTTACTTGAACACTTAAACATTTGTGTATTTAACTCTATGTAATTTACACCTTAAAAAAAGGATGCCATTTGTGTATAAGAGTGACACTGGGGAGATACTGTACGATTCAATGACACTGGATATTTGAGTCATGTTAACATGCTACTTCCAAAGGTCCAGAGCCACTAAAACATGATTCCTGAAGACCATTTCAATGGCCTTAATCTCTGAACTACCCCTTTGTGATCTGATTTCCTCCTAAACTCCGTCTGGCTCATACTCCCAGACTCACCTGGGACACTCTGGCCGGGGGACTCTTCTTCCAATATCCATGGCTCCTCTCCTTGCTCCAACTTGAAGATCACTTCCGGTTTAGGGATGCAAAACCCTGTGAATGAGAATTATGTGACATGAGACAAATTGGATGAGTGTCAGGGTCTTTGATACACTGTTCTCAAAGAGTATACAATAAAAAAAAAAAAGCTCATCTCATCCTGTTATGGGGCAGAGGACAACACATTCTTTCTGGTACCCAAAAGGGATAAATTGTCCTTGGCCTGTAAATCCCAAACCTAAATATTATTATATACTACAAAAATTCCACAGGTTTCTGTAAATAAGAAAGGACATGTATACTGGGGGTCTACATGGGAAAATAAGTGCTACCTACCTACTGAGATGAGGTGGCTGTAGTTCTCCAGCATCACGTCCCTGTACAGCGTCCTCTGAGCAGGGTCCAGGTGTTGCCACTCCTCCTGGGTGAAGCCCACAGTCACATCCCTGAATGACAGTGATCCCTAGAAAAATACACTTCTGCTCAATCTGCAGTGGTCAGAGTCAGGTGATGTGGAAAAAGAAGTTTAAAGACTAATTCTTACCATTCTTCCTGCTG